ATGCGTTCTGTTGGTGTTGCTACTTGCCAGCCGGCCCTGTTGCTGCGGCACCGCTTGTTAGCTGTAGATGCTGCTGCTGATAATGATGATGATGATTGTCACATATCTTGTTATTTTTTACTCTGTGCACTCATGTGTTTCTGTGTGTGTGTGTGTTAACGTGTGTTGATTTTGCCTCAACGATCGTTGCGGTACGACGTCACCTACCAGGTTCTTGTTTTGCTCATGCAACACGCATTTTTTTCAAAATTCATGATTTCCGTGCACCTTTGTGACATTCAGATACCTGTATGTAGCAGGACTGTCCGACAGGATTGATGCCCATGTGTTGCTAGTAATTGAGTTTTCATCTCTCTTTATTCTTCTCAATGATTACTAGTCATTTGTAGGGAAAAATCCGTTTACTCAGTGGGTTTTTTTCATGTTGTTTGCTTCTTTTTTCGTGTTCTTTTCCAAGTGGACATGTGCTCTCTCGTCCTTGCTCTGGCGGGCCTCTTCATCTTGATGAGTGTTTCAGTCGAAATTGAACACCTCCAACATTGTTGTTTTTTGTATTTTACTTCGTGGTGGGCTGCCTTCTTATCGGAAGGGGAAACCTCTTATTCCGGCCCATAAACCGAAAGTGAAAATTCACCTCTACAAATGTGTAGCCTAGAATTGCCTAGAATTGTGCATGACTTGTAGTCTTGTACCAAGAGTGCACAAAGACAGTTTTGTTTATGGACTCTTGCTTGTACTATTGATGTGATGATTATATTGGGGTGGACATCACCATGAGATGCTCAGATTTGCAACAAAAAAAAGGGGGACATACTGCATGCCTAGCACCTGCGAAGACCTGGTCGTGTCATTCTACTGAAGTAATTCAACCCCCATGCACTCCTTGATTTGCCAGTGCTTTGCATGCAGCATGATACAGTTGCAAGCAGGGAGTAGTGCACTGTAATTAGGGAGGTTTAGTTCCCACGTAACGGAAACGCGTACGTGGGTGATCCACGTAAAGTGGATGAAGGGCATCCACGTTGCAATGTTGTGTTTAGTCACACGGAACAAACAAAAGCATGAAGCTAAAGGCCAAAACCTGGTCAAAGACGAAGCTACCCCGGCCTAAGAAGCTCATCCAATATTTTGATTTCGTGCTTCGGAAACTTCTTCAGCTGAGCACCCTCACAGCTCGCACAATGCGCTCCATTCTGATTTTCACCCACGTTCTGGCGGAACGTGGGTGAGCCTCCATACACGGTATGTCGTGAATCAGAAAACGTCTGTACGTGGGTCACTGAGTATCACGTGGTACACATGCTTTTATTCATGGCCTCCGCCACAAGTGGTCGTTTGTGGCCCGGACGGTCCCAGGCATCAGCGGACTGCTAGACCCGCTGGAGCACTCCATCCGACAGCGGTTCATCCCTGCTCTAACCAGTCGCCCCGCACCTGGTGACGAAGAGCGCGCCATACTGTCCCTCCCGTGTCGAGAAGGTGGTCTTGGTCTCATTGACCCGAGGTCTTTGACGGACCAATACAATATGTCTGTCGCTGTCACCAACATCCTCGTGAGCCGGATACTGGACCAAGATACCAACATGGACGAAGTGCCCACCACCATCCATGCTGCCAAGCTAACTGCAGCAGCAGCAACCAGGAGAGCCGCTCGAGACCAAGCCAGTCAGCTCTTGGCCACATGTGATGCGCCCACCCAGCGAACCCTGAGGATGGCGGCCGAGAAAGGAGCGTCCAACTGGCTCACTTGCCGGCCCCTGAAGCAGTTCGGGTTTGTCCTCCACAAAGGCGCCTTCAGAGACGCACTCTGTCTGCGGTTCGGCTGGGTCCCTCCCCGCCTGCCATCCACTTGTGTGTGTGGCAAGGCATTTAACACCAGCCATGCTCTTTCGTGCCCAACTGGTGGATACCCGGCTCTCCGCCATAACACGATCCGCGACCTGACAGCCGACCTACTGCGTGAAGTGGCAACGGATGTGAAGATAGAACCTCCTCTGCAGCCCCTGGAGGGTGAAAGGCTCCGGTATCGCTCTGCCATCTTGGAAGATGGTGCTCGTCTTGATGTGGCGGCATCTGGTGTCTGGGGAAGTCGTTTTGAGCGCACGTTCTGTGATGTTCGGGTTTTTAACCCTCATGCGCGCTCGAACACTTCCTCAACTCCCGCGTCCACCTATGCCAAGCACGAACAGCAGAAGAGAAGGGCCTACGAAGAACGCGTCAGGGAGGTGGAGCATGCTTCCTTTCTCCCACTGGTATTCAGTGCATCTGGTGGGTGCGGCAAGGTAGCCCACGCTTTCCTGAAGCGTCTTGGCCATATGGTTTCGGAGAAGCGGCATGAACCCTACTCCTCCGTCATGTCCTGGATCCGCTCTCTTGTCTCCTTTGCTTCGGTTCGATCCTGCAACATGAGCCTCCGTGGTCACCGTGCTTCTCCCTACCGCAGTCGTTTGGATGCTGCCACTCCTGTTGTGCTGGCAGTCAACGACTGTCAGTTGCGTGACTGAGACTCTTGCGGAGTAGCCGTGTCTAGCCACACTTTTTATTATCCGATGATCTTGTTTTGTTTGCTATGAAAAAAAAAAAAAAAAAAAAAAAATCACGTGGTACACCCACGTAAAGTACCCACGGATTACGTGGGACTAAACCAGTTACCTCCCTATTGTACTTGAAGCACTACTCCCTGGTTGCAAGTAACATGGCTGCTAAGCAGGGAGTCGTAAAATACGACTCCCTGCTGCTAAGGCTATCTGACAGCAGTCTGACTCTCGGTTGGGATGAGTGAACAATATGCACAGGAATGTTGTTGCAATAGATGTTTGCAATTGCAGCGTCGAATATAGAAAGTCGAGTGCTGTAAAAATGAGCAACACATGATGTAGATCAGGGAGTCGTAAAATACCTATATTACGACTCCCTGATGTAGATTGATGATAGGAGTCAGTACACTCATATCTCTCATACCCGGACCTCCAAGTAAATAGCTGTAGTAGTTGCGGGCAGGGAGTAGTACAATACAGTATTGTCAAGAGTCCATAAATACTCTTGGTATTGTACTACTCCCTGGTTGCGGGCACCCTGTGCACATATGGGTGAGTTTTAGTGGAAATCAGGGAGTCGTAAAATACCGGTATTTTACGACTCCCTGGTGGAAATAATTATAATATTATTCTCAATTCATGGATGACATGGTGTCGCGTCAACCAATATAATGAATGAGGGCTATCAGCCATGGAATAAAAAGAACAAGAAGGCAAAATGCACACGCAAAATATGGCAAGTTAAAATTAAAATTTGATAAAATTTAAAAAGGAAATCAATCCCAAACCCAAATCAATTGTAAAAATCAATCCAAAATTAAAAACCCAAATCAATTATTATCAAATATTACTACTATTTGCCATTTTTTTGTTGAAATAGTGACATCATATCCCAGATCTCCAAAAAACTAACGGCAACGTCTGTAGTGATTTCCCTAACAAAATAATAAATACCACTAAAAAATATACTACTACACCGGTGCCTGGAAAGAAATCGTTTTTCAGGGACAAGTTTTTGCAATTACACCATACAATGTAGGACTTTAGGCACTATAATGAGAAGCTACATGTATGATTGTATGCCATACGGTCTACATAGACAGGTACATGCAATGCTGTTGGCAAATAGTTCAAGGTCAGTGTATTAGACAAGCCAGAATCTGGGAAAGAAAAGAAACATCTTGAAACACGCAAGGCCCGGAAGAGCGCATCTCCATCACAATTCATCTCCGCATTACATGTACTAGCAACCCTTTGTCGATTGATGGATCAATCGGTAGATTCGGCTCTGTTTTTCTTTCCTTTCTTTCTTGTTTTGAATTGTACGTTGAACTCATTGGATTTCTTTGTATTCTGTATCTCGTTATCGTTATCGTTAGATTTCCCTCTAGCCCTCTCGCTCAGGATGAGCTTTCTTTTTTATGGCAGCTTAAGCGAAGGCTATATACCTGCTTTATGCAGGTTGATGCCAACGCGAACAAGCAAAATAATAATAATAAGCAACTGTTACTGCGCGTGTGTGATTGTGTGTGATCGTGTGTGATTGACAATCAACACAATCACATACATACTGCGGTGTCTGTTTGGCAGGCGTGTATGGCACTGTGACAAGTGTGCACTTGCATACACTATACACTACACAGGGCACTGCTTGCTGTCATTAGTGTAGTGTAGCCCAAACAGGTAGTCGTACTGCAGGCACTGGCAGCTACAACAGTAGTACACATACTCTGCAGCTGGTCTTTAGTGTGGATCATGGTGAATGGGAGCAAGACCCAAGCCAAGGAGACGATCACCTCAGACAGTGCACAAAAACAAGCATGATGACTGTGAGGGGCGATGACAGTCAACTACCTGCAACTGCAAGTGCTAGAAAGAAACACACTAGTTGACATTTATGATTTAGGTGACTGACAAGTGGCCACTTAAAAAGTACAGAAGTTCACTTACATTACGGCAGTACAGCCTAGACTAGAGCACTAGAGGTACTACAATGCACTAGCGCCCACTGTCTGCACCAAAAATAATAATGTTGAGCAGTGAATATGCGTTAGCTATGTTGCATTAATACGACAGGGCAGTGAATGGCCATATACAGACTACTAATTTAGAGTGTCAAAGTGTATGAAGTGCAGCGTGGGACGTCATAATAAACTGACTGTCACAGCAGAGGCACGTCACTGAATGTCAGCAGCAGCTCCAATGAGTCATACATGGACATGTACCGTCCTATATGGCCTAGCTGACACCATACCAGTCACATCATCCAGCTTTGCAAGCCTGATGCAGAGTACGGGTCACCCCATTATGACGTGGCCAGAGCAACCTGCCTAATCCAGACTGGCAAGGACACGTAAACGTGACTCGTGCTACGAACCTGATAATGATCGATGACGAGTGCAAGGCACACTAAAGGATATGATTGCAAATGATGTGGCTGACCCGGAAAGAATTCAGGAGATTGTGCATGAGTGCATCACAAGCAGCCTACATGTAGCTGTAAGCTATGATACAGTTGCTAGCAGCAGATGAATAATGTCTTCCAATAGAGTGCACAGAACAAATCGCAAAAAAACACAATACTCTTGGCTACCCACAAATATTACAGTGCTATCACAGTGCGACATACTAACAGCAAAACACACACACACCACACACACACACAGAGGTCAAACACAATCCGTTTCACACAGCTCTGAGAACATATGCACCAAGTCTCGCAGAGGATCCACTATCTCCAATACAATTATCACACAAGCTCAAGTCTGCCAGCGAACAGAGCGAAGGAAAGGACCATGGTGAACCAACAAATTCCTCAACACGACACAAGGAATGCAGGTGTGGTACTAGCACCAACGTCTCAACATACAGGTATTACACTAGACTTATCGCGAGCAAAGCCAGACACCATGGACACACAGACGCCAGCCCCAACACGGAGTAGACTAAAAAACAACGCTGCACACCCTCTCATCAGTCTCACACGCACGTCTAGCACCGCCGAGCAGAAAACGAACGTGCAACACCAACTGACACATGTCTGAACAAGCACCGGGTTGCAGCAGCGAATGTGCTGTTCTGGACAGTCTGCGGACACTCACAAAGCGAAAATCCACGGCCACGTCGTCAACATCCAATCCAAGTCTTCATGGATTAGGCCATAGTCATCTGTGACCTTACTGGGACTACAACTTACTTGGCTGTCAAGCTGTCAAACAGTTGACATGTCGTCAGTGGACTGGAATAGATAATGGTTGCCAGATACAAAACGATGCCACACCAGTTCATAGTCAGCACAGAAGATCCAAGCATCGAAATCCAGCTGTAGACCACAATGTTGGGCTTGGCAAGCACATAGCCAATGAGTATAGGAACCAGGGAGAGATAGATGGAGATAGAGGTGCCTGCTACACCATGCTGTCAGAGGAAACAGTATGAGTCATGAGTAGCCAGACTGTCCACTGCCTGTGCAGCACCAGCCAAACCACCAACCACGGATATGACAGCCCGTAGCCAGTGTAGCACTCACTGTATACAATGCGTTTCCCGTGGCAACCAGGATTAGCACGTGCATACCCCGTGCCGCACCCGCGAAAATACAAGGACTTTCGCGAAAGCACTAGCCTGTTCGAGGTACCACTCACACACTGCACACTAAACTTACAAAAGCACACACCAGCGACGAGAGCACAGGTTCGAGTTAAAAATGAAACAGTCTCACCACTGGAGTACTGGAAGGGATGAAAGCACAACGAGGGATGGAACAACACGTTAAATTGATTTCCGGAAAAAGAAGATACGAGCAGCCGATAAAAGCAACAATAGACATCCTACATGCATGCAATTTTATGCGATAAGATTTAGCTTCAGGGAAGGTGTTCGGTGTGTCGATTATTCGCAGTCAGGATACCAGAACCTTGTTTAAAGTCTACAGAAGTATGCAATTAATTTAACTGGCGAGGAGCAATTTTTAAATTAGCCGGTGCAAATAAAGGGTCAAAAGTTCACCGTGAAAAAGCAGCAGTCAGCGGTTAATGGTCTACAGGCGTGTAGAAGCTTCAGCCGTGTAGGGCGTCTAATAGCGATGCAAAAGGAGGTAGCAGGGGTGGTATGTGGTGAAATACGAGTGGAATTAGTAGTCAACTGTCCAACATTGTTGTATATACAATTGAAAAATTGCAAGTGCAAGTTTTGCATCAAAGCTTACCAACTTTGGAAGCAACGACGGCAGGATGAGATTTCTCCAGGAGCGATCTACCGTCAGTTTTGTAATCAAACGAGCAGTTGTGTTGATCAGAATAGCGATGTTTTGAACAAAATTTCAATCCACATCGGCAGTCAAATCCTAGAGGACCAACAATAACGAACGACATACAATACGGAAACAATCAAACACTAGTACAAACAAGAACGAGCAGCGAAGTAGGCAGGTCGTATCCCTAACGTCGTAGATTACCTACAAGACGCATAACTACTAGTACCTCGGCCTCTGGCCAGCTCGAAGCAAATAGATAGGTCTGGTGTTGCATTCGTGCGAATACAACAGCTGCAGTCATCGCCAGCTTCAGAACAAAGCAAACGACAATACCGTAGGCAAAATTTGCACAGCATGCAAGCCTCCCAAAAATTCGCTCGTACGCCACAACCGCAGCAACACTCAGCAGAAAACTAATGCACAATAAGATGGACATTGCATTTTGAAGAAGTGCAATGGTACCACTCAACACAGTACTAACAGCAGGAGACTCGAAAATATCACGCGACAGCTACAAAGAGGGAGACATGGAACTCACCTAAAAGTCCGACTCGAGCTTTACATCCGTCAAGTTCACAACGGGCTTTCTTGGCCTTCTTCGGTGAACTATCAGTGCATTCGGGTTCGGACGGCACAATGGCATCAGCGATAGAGACAGAGGGCGAAGATAGTTCCGCAATGGGTCCACTTGCTTCAGTACGTACTGCCGAAGAGGCGGCTTCAGAAACTGGGTTACCATGGGTTGGTGTATCGGGTGCACTAGAACGGTCTTGTGTGGATGTCATGAATGGTGATGGATGAGAGGAGAGACGGCAGCCCGAAGAAGCAGTGCTGCCCAATCCTGTGAGATGACCAATGACCAAAGCCAAGCAAAGCAACAGGCTCCAGTAAAACCAATGTTTGGGCATAATAACTACACAGTAGCTTGCTATAATCTCTTACCTTCGCAGCGCTTTCCCTCAGATGCCAGCTGAGCCTGCTCCTCCTGCTGCCTGTGTTGCGATTCCTTGTAACACTTGGAACACATTCCGTTCGAAGACGCATTTGCAAAGAATCCACATGCCTTGACACACATTGGTGGTGCGTGGGACTGCTCCGCTGCACTGTTATCCATTCTTGTGTTCGGAGGCAAAACTAAAAGAGGAGCGTAAATCTATTATTGCAACTACTCCTAGTGGGATAAGTGAACACTGGCGTGAAAGCTGAGTTAGGAAAGCAGCGGATGAGAAAGAGGAGAACGTACAGTGCAGAAAGTTCTTTGTCGAACCTCTCTTGTCAGACGTTATGATAGACTGAAGAAACCAGTGAAGCAGTCTGTCTATCTGACTTCAGATTTCGTGTGCGTCTACAAGTAGATAGGGTCCCTATCCACTCACGATCACCTGACTGAGTACAGCTTGCTGGACCGCGGCTACGCTGTACGACTTGTACGTGCGGTGCATGCATGCAACAAGTGCCAACAACTCAGCACTTTTGAGTTTTGTTTTGGACTGGTGAGTTTGCTGATTCGTAGTGCCATCAATCACAGTCGTAGTCATAATTATACTGCCTACTTTTACTGGCCGTAGTTGTACAAGTAGTCGGGTGTGCGCCAGCATTGGCTTTGTGAATGCCAGGCCGACACACAACTCACAAGCGTAGGGGCCGGGGGAAGTCAGAGGCCGTCGATCGTCGCCGACACGGCTAAAGAGTAACAGTGGAGTTATCGACTTGAGTGCTGCACCACGCTCTGAGCGTGGAAAGCCGAGGCCCTCACACTACTCTCAGTGTCAGTCACACATTCAGAGCATTTTTCAGTACAATCATCAGTCATTTCTTTTCAGTCAAGTCACTCCAGTACAGAATAACATAACAGTGCAGAATCTGAACTGAAGCCTTTGCTTCACGGTCTACGAGCGTCACACAGAACATGTGCCGACTCGATCAGTCACCAACGCCTACGTTGGCATCAGGATGCTCACCGACTCACGTCAAGACTAGAGTCGAGCGAAAATGTAGATAGGTGTAGTGCTGAGCTGATGAGGGAGAGATTCGAGAAGGGGATAACAGTACATCTATTGTACAGCTGCAAGTCATGTTGTTCTCACTTCTTGTTTTACCTGGATTACACAGTGTGACTGCTGTGTGCATGTGTGGCCTTGGCCTGGGTGGCGTAGCTCATGTAGTTACTGTTTTGGTGGCTTCAATTCGGATCATGGATGAAGAAAAGGCTGGAAGGTTCCTATCCTTGATCCTGGCCCCTGCAAAAGGCAGCTTTGGCTGCATGCTTGTGAGTACATGTTCGTATTCTCGTAACACGTTCCGTGCCCAGTACGGTACAGACCAAAGCGGCACACAGCCTACACACTGACGTGACATAGCAAGAGTCCGTAATGCACTCTTGGACATAGCCAAAGGCAAAGGCCACAACCAAGAGTTGTACTTTTGTCTTATCTTGCCATGACTCAAGTCTCAACTCACCCTTCATGACATTGGCCAATTCAGGGAGTGTAATACAACCCATGTATATCGGTACATCCAATTCTGGTACACACTCTTTGTTTCAATAAAATAATTACTAGTTTTGAAAAAAAAATCTGTTACACACACATAATTACGTAATGATTGTCTGTCATGATCAGGGAAAAAGACCGCAACATATGTCAGGCAGGGAGTCGCCAAATACTTTGATGACTCCCTAGGCCCTGATGACAAGTCTCTAATTTGACTTTTTTTAGAACTAAAATTTTCATTTCCGGTTTGCAATCATTGCATAAAGAAGAAGGTATTTCCTTCATTTCTTGCGCTTGCAGCTGACCAGCACGCGGTGCTATTGCATGCTGCACAAGAATGTGTGTTTGCGCATTCACATTTTCTAATCACCTTATGTACCGGATCCATGGGAGTCTACTACAGTAAAACCTGGTTTAAGCGACCACCCCACGGTGCAAGCAAAAGCGGTCGTTAAAGCCAGGTGGTCTTTTGAACCAGGTCCCACTGTGTCTGTGTAGTAGTAGTAGTAGGCCGCGTACTGGTGCACAACTGATTTGCTGTTGTACGTCCACTCTGTCTTGGTGTACTTTTAAAAAGTTTAATGTGCTCTCTTTACCCTGCCTGGCTTGCTCTTTTCTTTGCGTTGTTGTTTTCATCACTATTGATTTCACGATCTATTTATTTTTGCCCGTACAAGAGGCTAGTAGTAGGCGCATGGAGGTGGTCGCTAAACCCAGACAGGGCCAGAGGTCGCTTACACCAGGTTTTACTGTACAAGTGCAATGTTTTTGTTTGTTTGCTCCTGTACTCTTCCTGCTTTATTCACTCTAACATAACTCTGGGTCTCTCTGTCTCTCTCACTCCTGCACCCATAAAGATCATCGGACACGTCCACCCACTGAGACGATGGCAATTGCGCAGCTGTACTACAACGGCAGCAACGCATGATTGTGTTTCTCGGCGTGGGTGGTCACCTAGCAACTTTTTTTGTAGTATTCAGCACTTTATACCGCATTTCTGATATTCCGGTACGCTGTAGTAAATGTTCGATACATACGTGTACAGACTGCTACATCACACACCACAATAGTGTAGTCCCAGCCTTACAGTGCATGGTCCAATGTGTAGCACATACACCGGGCAAAGGCACACAGTGCAGAGCACGGGCAGTTTGTATTCGCAACTCCGAGTTTCACGATAATTATAGTGATCATAATTATAAAAACGTCTATGAATTACGAATAAAAACTGCCCGTCCTCTTCTGGATGTCATCATACATGACGTAAGCAAGCCTTACTTTTGTTTTCACATGCATGGAGTAGTATGACGACTGTTGAAGCACTATTGCCTATTAGACTAGAGAGAGAGAGAGAGAGTATTAGTTAATTACAAATTCCTCTCACAGGTTTGTACATACACCTTGGCACATTCTACCTATATGCCGTAAAAGCCAGTAATAAAATCCCGGGCGGAAACGTAACGTCGTTAGTGAAGGTCCTGAACATGGGCATCAATCATGGGCCTGGGCGCTGATGTGGGTCCGGACGTTATTTCGGATAAGCAAGATCAGACTTATTTTCACATCACGCCGTACTGCTACATACACGGTTAGCGCAGTGTAGTGTACACTGTACTATACCGCATTGTGCATGTACGTGAAGATGCACATGTACTGCACTAGCTGTGTACTGGGCCTGCGCTTTCGACCATGGGCGTCTACACGGAGATGGGCTACAAAATGGGACAAACATGTAGACATCCGACACCTGGGCGTGTACACCGTCAACGGGTGTTATACTGGGTGGGCGTGTGATGCGGGCTCATACGGTATTTTTTACAAAACACACCTCTCCACATTCATCAGCCCGGGCAGCGTTTCTGAACACCGAGCTGTACTTCATACAAATCCATGGAGTATGCTCCTCATGTGAACAGCGGGAAAGTTGGTGAAACACCGTATTTTCTCTAATAAGAGCACGGGGTTCTTTTGACAGCTCTACCCGCGCTACTATTAGAGACTGGACTCTTATTTTTTTCAATTGTCATTTATCAAGCCAACTCCAGTTTATACAGGCATAAACTGACCATATCAAGACTGATTTTTCAACCCTAAACTCAGGAATATTGTCAAAACAGACGTTTCACAATAGCATTCGCGCCAGGAAAGAAGCAGTAGACCGAAAACCTCCTTACAAATACGTTCTTGGCATGTTGTACTGCTGTTTTATATACAGTCAATATACTTGTTGCATACTCCAATTGAGACCCACGCTACTATTAGAGACTGTGCTCTTATTATTTCAAACCACCCTCACCCCCGAGTCATTATTGGAGACTGGGCTATTATTGGAGACCTGGGCTTTTATTAGAGAAAATACGGTATGCATGTAGGCAATCGGGCTCACAGCAGACATTCTTAAAAGCAGGCTTGCACATACCGGATTCCATACATCTGCACACAGTGCAAACAGTCCATTGGCCACGGGATTTACTACTTAAGTAGTAATGAGGCAAATACACAAATGCAACATGGTCGCACGTGTTTGCACAGACCCAGAAGCACACATGTAGATGCGTACACGTTTGGTAGACATCTGCCGTTATCTGTTATTGGCAAAGGCCACTAAAAGCAAGACGAACACCAACAGGAGTAGTGGTGAACCGACAAAAAACACAAAGCATGGCTAGACACGTACATACACAATTCTGGAAAATATATTCTCTAAAATGGTACCACCAACAATAAATTGTTTTAAAATGTTCTTTAGTCTGGACAGTCAACTTCGCAAACAAAACAAATCGGTTAGCAGTGCATACAGTACACAGTGGATTTGTATAGACTCAGTGGTGTCAAACTCACCAGCAACGCACAGAGCGAGTCGGTGTTGATCCAGAGAGCATTTTAGCTCTACCACGCAAAGCAATATCCACTCACTTCGCAGCTGCTAACGTGTTCGACTGAATAGCTGCTTCAACCTACTCCACTGCGTTTCGGCACAAAGCCGCTGTAAAGTGATGTCACGAGTGACAATATCACGCGCACTCCATCTTCGACTAGAGTAGAAATTCGGTGTCCAATATGTCCGAGACGGTATCCTCCAGTTCTTCGGGGTAAACATTACTATTTTCTAGCATCCATTGTTCAATGGCTTGTGAGAACCAAGTATATCGGTTTGCAGTGTATACAGCTCACAGTGGATTCGTACACTCACTGGCAAAGCTCAGCAGCGACGCAAAATGTGAGTCGGTGTTCATCCGGAGAGCATTTTAGCTCTACCACACATAGATAACATTCACTCACTTCGCAGCTGCCAACGTGTTCGCCTGGATAATTGCTTCGACTTCCTCCACTTTGTTTTCGGCACAAAGCCGCTGTAAAGTGATAATGCGAGTGGCAATATCACGAGTAGTTCCATCTTCGACCAGAGTAGAGAACTCGTTGTCCAAAATGTCCGAAATAGTATCCTCCAGTTCGTCGGGGTAGACATTGCTATTTTCTAGCAACCATTGTTCGATGGCTTGTGGGAACCAAGCAACCCTCTCCGGATCACCACAACCCTGGGCCACGCAGATATGGAACGCTGCCCAGCTATTCACGACGGACTCAATACCTCTAAGAAAAAGTGACATGGCTCACGTCCCTTGAGGCTGAACTCAGCAATGCAGACAGTGAAGTACAGCCACACAGGTAACAGTTGCTCCAGAGAATTGTTTGCTGACCCTTTCCTTTCAAAACAATTAATTTTCCTTGTTTGCTGGCGCAGCAAGCTCGCGCTATAATAATATCGCAGACCATACAAAAATTATTTTAGCACAAAAAAGACTACGCGGTCGCGACACTACGCCATTCGTGTCGTCATGGTAGTATGGCTTGAATGATGTCATGCCGTGCATGGAACAAAACACAAAACGCGTGGCATGGTATCTTGCGCGTTTTTCTTTGTTTGCAAAAATTTAGGGCTCACAGTACGTATGCTGATAGCCAGTGGACATCAGCGCCATTTTGATTTGGGGCACTCAAGTTCACGTGATCCTTTCGCGTGCGGAGCTGTATGCAGTTCTGTGCTGGCGTGTAGTCTCTGATCTACGAGCAGGCTGCAGCATGATGGAGCTGGTGTTTTCTTGCTCTGTCGGCAAACAAAATTTCCGACAAGTAGCTAGAAGATGGCATATGGAGAAGCTTGGGAGGCCTGGATCTTTTCTGTAGTTCGGGAGATGGACATCGAACATTACAATGGTAGTTCTCCGTGACTTACCCTTGGTACTGAGCTGTGGCTAAGGTGAAGTGAGGGACGAACTACCCAAAAATATCGCAAGCCTACAAGCGCTTCGGGTCACTAATGCCCGGGAAGAAATTGATGAAGAGTACTAGTCTGCCACGACGATACTCCACAATGACCAGCTCACCCTCGGCTCTACCCACACCTGACCATGGATTTGGAAGGCCCTGAGGAAAGGAGTTCGTTCCACTGCGCAGTGAACGAAACGGCAGGTGAGCAAGAGTTGTGCACGCCGTCGCGTAATCTTTGTAGTTTGAGCAAAGATCTGCGGCGCTTCTCACGACCCTAGGCAAACAGGCCACGAGCAAGCCGTCCATCCACGATCAGAAAGTAGTTGCAAGGTCGTTTCCGGGAACGCTTGCAGAGCTGAGTCCATGAAGAACAAAATGAGCGCACAAAACAAATCACTCGAACACGGCGCTGATCGCCTTGCGAGGTGACCAACACGTATTTTAGGTAAGTGAGCTTTTCTGGAATGCAAAGCGATGTTTTCCGCACGCAGGGTACAGGAAATCTGTGGTGACAAGGTTGCGCATCATCATTATTTTTTTCTTGAGTTGCCGTTTTCTGTCATGTCAGCTTGCGCACGGTCTTCTTCTTGACCTTGCGCGCTTCAAAATGTAAGAACTGCACAATGGTTGCTCCGATTTTGACGATCTATGGCTCAAAATTTTCTTGAGGGACCTGGCCAGAGGATTACCGAGCCATATTTTTGGTTTTCACTGAGCTTGTGTCATCGATTCCCACAGATGTTTGTCCCATCGAGGGACGAAAATCCACAAAATCCCGTTCGTGGGTCTCAGAGCACGGATTTGAAAAAATCGTTCGGTAATCCTGTAGTCCTTCAGCCAAGGAATAATCCCTGAAAATTTCATGGCTCTCCGGCCAGTCGATCTTTAGAACGAATCGATAGAAGATTCAAAAAATATTCAAAATTCCAAGCCCGGTGATTGGCTGAAACACGGTTTTCACTGATCACGCCAGCACCTCGTGGAACAAAATGGCGCTGATGTTGAATGTACGCAACTGTGAGCCCTAAAATTTATTTGGACCTTTTGCCGTTTTACGAGTTTCATCGATCCCACGCCCAGCGCTGCAGCGCAGCTACGTATGATCAGAATAGAATTGGTCCATATGTATCGGGCGTAATCCCCAGCAAGCTGTAGGCTATGGCTTCCACAGTGGTAGAATGCCTGAAGCAGACTCCAAAAGGGAAACTGAACTATGGGACGTGCAATTCTTCTCCGGTGAGAAAATTGATGTTCATTCTGTTATAGTTTTCGAAATTTTGAAATAATTCATCTTTTCACGTAAGCGTTTGCACTGACACTATGCAGCCAAGTGTGGAAAATATATTGCTCCTTGTCCAGCAGCATGCCACAACACTTGCCTGGGAATAAAATGAGTACCTTCAAGATCCAGAGCTCCTGAACTCCCCATTATAATATTTTTTTT